AAAATTGTGTGGCAAAGTACTTGCTTTTATTGGTTTTCAGCCTGCAGACCAAATAATCTGTAGCTTTTTTTGTCTCAAGAAAAATGAATAATGATACTCTATTCCCCTTTCCCATTTCATGTTCATGTTTATGGACTGCTGCTGTTTCAGTCTCTTCAGTTCCAGGAATGTGGTCCCTATTAACTGATCTTTTTTCGAATATTTTTTCCTGATTCTTTTAAAATTGTTGCTAACAAGACACAGCTCAGTTCATGGCCATTTTGGATGAGGTTTGTGCATATCCTTCAGTTCCACACTGTAGAGTTCGAGAGCCTCAATATTCTAATGGTAGCAATGTGCTTCAATTTCCCATTTACTACTCCATTTAACTTTCTAAAATCAAAGGCACAAAGGAATTAGCTTTTATGCCATCCTTTAATTGTTACATTTCTGTATGCCATCCTGTATTTGTTAAATTTCAGACCTCTGACTAGCAAAAGAAGTGCAATTTGTGCTTTGCTGAAGTGATACTACTAGTGTATGTCACGTGAGCTCTGCTAAAGTGTCCATCTATGTGATGTGTCACAATCTGCAAATTCACTCATCCTGCCTACTGGCAGGCAGTAGTGATGGTGTGGTGCAGATGGATGTCTACAAGATCTTCCATAGTCTAATGGTGATGAACTGCTGGCTTGAAGGCATTTTCCAGAAGTGGCCAGTGTGTTTGAAGGTGTTTTCCAGAAGTGGCCACTCCTTCCTCCAGATCAGGCCTCAGCTATAACAATGGGTTGTTTGCATGTACTTTTACAGTGTCACAGCCCCTGCATTAGCACACACTGCTTCTGCTTTTCCCCTGTAAGATTCTTTATTCATTTGATCCTGTCAATGTAGATATATATTCCATTTGCATGTCCTCTCTGTGTCTAGCTGAAACGAACAGTAACTTAAGTATTCTTTATATTACAAGAACATTTGCTGGATAATGTTCACATCACTGCTACTACTATTTTCATATTGTTTTTTCCACGATATACCCTTGCTCCTTAGTTAGCAGGGGAAGCATAATCACACAAGAGTAGCTGGGTATCAAGTGGATTGAGAAAGCCCTTCTATTTTATATATGTGGAGACTGGAGAAGAAAAACCCTCCAAGTTAGTTTGACTACAAAACAACTGAACTGGTCTTACCTTCCACTTGGATTTGTTTTCACTGTATTTTTTAATACACTGGGAATTTTTTAATCTAAAAGAGGAAGGACAGAAGGTAGATCTTAATCAGATACAATATAAGTAGCCTCAATTGGATGCATTTTCGATGTAATAAAATCAATTAAAAACCCACTTAAAGACACCAACACCATTATATGAGGCAATTTCTTTTGCAGTATTTGAAGTCCATAGCTGTAACTTCAGAATAATTGTCTCCAACAATATGCATATATCCAGGGCTGTTTGGGATTACTTTGTTTACCATGCCGTAAGATCGATTCTAAATGTATGCACTGACATCTGAATAATGTATTTCCTAGTCCATTAGAACAATCTGGAGGATCTAATTCTGTAGGCAGCTTTTCTGCCAAGAAAGCAAGTGCACATGTCTGTGTATCTCTTGTGGAAAGAGAGACAGACTGGTCTATGCTTTTAGAATAAGCCAGCTGCTTTACTGTTTGACTGCTGTATAAACACCTACGAGCAATTTGTCATAATCAGATTAAATTGCTGCTTCCTTGGCCAATTGCCAAGGCTTCCAGGCTTTCAAAGAACCCACTACTCATGTCTTTAGTCGCAATTTTGCAACTCAGGACAGACATTCTGAGCAACCTATTCGAGATTTATGCTGACGTCTTTCCTGGAAAAGACACTGAAACCAAATCTCTTGGTGCTTTACTGTGTCCTGAACCTTAGCACTATAATGGTATCCCTTCTGATATTGCACTGTTTTAGCCTTAGAAGAAAAGATTCCACAAAAATTTGCAACATTTATTGGAAGAAAATTGTTAGAGGAATTTGCATCTTGTTCCATATTTTGCCATGAGTTTTCTTGCTTGCAAGAGAGTGGATTATAATGAAAAATTAAGCAGATTATGTGTTAAACATTTCACAAGGGAATTAAAAAAAATCTGTTGTCAGTAGCCTGATATCTTTTAGGAGGATTTGTGTTCAGTTGTGTTGTAGTTTTTTTCACGTCAATCCTGCACTCACCACAGGGAGTCAATGCAAACCCATATTTGGCTGCCAATAAATCAGGTTTAAGCTGTAGACTTCTTAACAATCTTTTTGTTTTAATGTTTTCTCTTTTACCTGTGAAATCTTCACTGTTTGCTTGGAAGACTGCAAATTGTCAAGAGTAGCCCTGTTGATAGTTTTGGTTTTGTTTGATTTCACGTCAGCAAGCCCTGAAAAATGTTAAGACTTATTATCACTCTACTTCTGACTGTTTGGCACAAACAGGGACTAGGGGTTGGGGATGGGATGGAGAAAGGAAAAAATGGAGAAAAGGGAACATTATAAATAAGTAAAATTATCCATAGATTAACAGCTCCTTAGATATCAAGAAAAAGAAATCAAAACAGGCAGCATGGAACCAACTACAACAATTTTTATATTCGCCATGACAGGCTTGAGCGGTGGGACCTCATGAAGTTCAATTAGGCTAAGCACAAGGTCCTGCAATCCCAATCACAAATACAGTTTGGGTGGAGAATAGATTGAGAACAGCCCTGAGGAATAGGACTTGGGGATATTGATTGATGAAAAGCTCAAAATAGGCCAACAATGTGCACTTGCAGACCAGAAAGCCAGCTGTGTCCTGGGCTGCATCAGGAGAAGGGTGGCCAGCAGATCAAGGGAGGTGATTTTACACCTCTACTCCACTCTTGTGAGACCGCATCTGGAGCACTGTGTCCAGTTCTGGAGCCCTCAGCACAAGAAGAACATGGAACCATTGGAGTGAGTCCAGAGAGGACTACAAAGATGATGAGAGGGCTGGAGCACCTGTGCTATGAAGACAGGCTGAGAAAGTTTGGGTTGTTCAGCCTGAAGAAGAGAAGGCTTTGGGGAGACCTTGTAGCACCCACAGTACCTGAAGGGGCCTACAGGAAAGCTGGGGAAGGACTTTTTATAAGTGTGTAGTGATAGGACGAGGGAGAATGGTTCCAAGCTGGAAGAGGGAAGATTTTGGTTAGACATTAGGAAGAAATTCTTTACTTAAGGGTGGTGAGACAGGTCACCTGGCTGGCACAGGTCACCCAGGGAAGTTCTCGATGTCCCATCCCTGGAACTGTTAAAGGTCAAGTTGTATGGGGCTTTGAGCAACCTGGTCTAGTGGCAGATGTCCCTGCCCATGGCAGTGGGGTTGTAACTAGCTGATCTTTAAGGTCCCTTCACACCCAAACATTCTATTATTTCCAGTGTATATGGTCAGAGCATGAACTATCCCTCTGTGGTGCTTGTAGAGGGTACAGCACCAAAGGGTGAATATGGTTATCTGGGATGCCTGTATGAGATTATCTGAGTCTCTGTGTCCTGGGTTCTGTCTTCTCTCAGTGGAGATACAGAGGATGATGTAGCTGAGGTACGTTACAATGAGGTATAGTTTGGCTCCTTAGTTCTGAACAAAATAGTCCATTTTGCAGCTTATGTGAAGAGTTCTGCCTTGAGACACAGCTGCATTTATTGTCTCTTACTGTGAGGGAATTCAGTGGCATGCAGAGGCAACCTTAGCAGTTACTATAAAAAAAATGCTTTGGCCTTTGTGTCTCTCTTCTATTTCATTTCTGAGGCTTAGCTCTGCCCCAGGATCAGCTCCATCTTTCTTCCCTGGTTTCTGAGCTCCCTTATGTTCATCCACTATACACAGACATTTAATTGATATTCTCCTAGGTCTGGCTTACTGCTCTATGAACAAAATTTATTTCCTAGCTTTTAATTGATTTGGATAATAAAGTGCAGTTATAAAACTCAATAAAAATTGGTTATTTTAAAGGTAGAGCAGGGAAGAAAGAAACCTAAGTGATGCTCTCCTGTGTAGCTCCATAATAATGTAAAATGTCCTTTGGTTTAATTCTATATAAGTGCTCAGCTTTACCCAGATTGTTGCAGCTCTGCAGGCTTTCTTGCAATTATAAGCAGTGTGCTTATAAATGTTTGAATTTTTTTTTAAGTTCCTTGTGTGTGTGTATGTGTGTGTATAGATTTCTTTATCTATCTGTTTATTTGTTGTGGGGTTGTGTGTGTGCGCACGCATGCACGTGTGCGTGTGTGTGTGTATGTGTCTGGTGGCTGCTGTCTGCTTTGTTTTCCTCCCTTCTCCTTGTTCACATGCTTGGGGAACCTGTCCCTCTCAAACATTTCCTAAACCAGCCAAGTCCTCTTCTGAGAATTGAATTACCGAGCCAGCAACCATCTGTTAGGAGTAAATATGTGGGGTTTTTAATGTTACAGGAGGATTATCCCTTCTCCTCTGTCCCCTTTACACTCTAAATGCTCCCTTGCTTCCAAGGGAGGCTAGACCTTGGACAGGATGTAAGAAGTGTGAGGTGTCCTACCAGGGAGTGCTCTGTCAAGATTTGTTTATGGCATGTGCCAGGGAGGTGGTGTATTGGGATGGGAAGAACAGGGGATCAAAAGTGCTTCAGCCATTCTGGGCAGTTTTCTGAGGTACCTAAATAGGATATGGATTTTTTCATTTCCTTTGAGATCCAGATATTTGGAAATTTCTTCTTTACTCAGTGTCTGCTTTTTCACTGGAGAGAAGAAGACTTGATATTTAAAATTGTGTCTTGGATTTAGGAAAGCTGGGTCTTTTTCTTAAGTGTTGCATCTTACTGATGAGTTCCCCCTCATAAATTTTATTTCTCCTTTGTCTGTTTTCTCTACTGAAAGTGCTGTAGGGAGAGATAGTTTCTTAGAAGGTGTGAGTGCTGGATTTACCCCAGCACAGCTGCCATATATATATGGATTAATATCTGAGGTTTTCTGGATACAATAACTGAGTTTCTTTGTTTCTCTTTATTTTCCCAGTTGGGAGGCTGTGGAATCCTTGGAGTAGGCATCTGGCTGGCTGTTACCCAAGGGAACTTTGCCACCCTCTCCTCTTCTTTCCCGTCCCTGTCAGCTGCCAACCTACTGATCGTCACAGGGACATTTGTCTTGATCATTGGCTTTGTGGGCTGCATAGGTGCCATCAAAGAAAACAAGTGCCTCCTGCTGAGTGTGAGTATTAAGCTGCTATGCTGTTGCAGTGTTTGCTGTCTTAAAGTGCTGGTGCTATTGCAGTACATGTCACAGTGTCTTGTATTTCAACAGAAGTTGCTCGCTTGACATGGATGAGACGAGAGTCATGTTTGAGTTAGTCTTTGATAGCTCTATGAGCTGGTAGATCATTCCTGACCATGCTTTAAGTCTGTGCTTGGAGAATGAGACCTGCAAGAAGGGAATGGTTAGTGGTGGCGTGGGTTTCCTTGAACTCTACAGAGAAGAGGGAGAGGTTTGTGAAGACATCTTTTGCAGTGTACCCTTGAACTATTTTTTTTACTCAGTTTTGCTAGCTGTCTACTCCAAATGTCTACCCTGGTGGGACTGATGATCTGAAGTCCTGGGCAGGAAGATCAATGTAATCAGGAAACATTATGAAGAGGTTGATTTTGGTTTAAATTAAGTCCTTTAGATTTGGCAATGCTGGCTTTGCCAATCAACTCTCAAAAGGCTGAAATGTCAGGAAGCAAAGGTGCCAGCACAAGGAGATTGCTGTGAAATCAAAGATTAATAAGGTGCCAGCTGTCAGTGATTTAACAGAGGCTTGAGCTACATCCCTGGTGTATTTAGCCAGATTTAATTTGATACTTCTTAAAGCTGGACTTCATGAGTTGTGAGTGCCTGCTGTAATTGATGTTCATGTATATTTTGGATCATGTTCAACTGAAGACCAGGAAGTGAGGTGATCTTGCTGCTCAAGTCCAGGGCTTTGGCAAACCTCAGAGTGAACTGAAGCTGGGGTTTAGTTTGGTGAGATGGTGATTCCGTTGTAAAAGGCTGTAACTCACTGTACTGCACATATTAATTTTGCTTCCCTGATAACTACAGAATGAGTCAAGGCACACAGCCCACAGGAAAAATTCTGAGATTCCAAGCCTCTATAGAGGAGTCTTCCCAGATCCCCTGCATTAACCATTGTTTCTGCTGCTTTTTAACCAGTAAAAGTCAAGACCAGCCAGTTTAGGCTAGTAATGGCTATTTTTGTGGCAGGTAGGTGTTTTGAAATGAAAATGAGCAATATACATGGAAATTAAGGCAATTTTGTTAGTAGAAATTTACACTGAGAAGCTGAAGTCAGAATCTAAAGCTGAAAGTCCTTCACAGTTTTAACAGTCTTATAAGTACCTACTTTGTAGAGAAAGTGCCTGGCCAGGCAGATGTAACTAGAGGATCAATGCCAATGCAGCAGGAGTCCACAGGGTGCTGAGCCTAATGGTATAGCTTATATGCACAAATCTGATCACCTATTTGTGTTTTTTTGACTGCAGTCCTAGCTCAGGTTTAACCAGCAATGAGCAGTGTCTTCTTATGTGTCAGGATCAGGTCAGGATCTGGCAGTCAGACCTTAGTACTGGAAGAGATTCAGTCTTTTAGCTGGTGTGATTTGTTGGCCCTCATCACTCCTTTTGACAAGGACGAAGTCTACCTAGATCACCTGTCATTGCTGCAGCTAGGGTGAATGTGCTCAGCCAACCCTAGATGAACATCCTTTTGGGAAGATGCAAATGTTGGTGAGCACTGCACCTCCTAACATATACTTGCACAAACTCAGACTCTAATGCCTTTCAATGCACAGTGGAAGGACAAATCTAATGCTCTTTAGTGCATGAAGTGAGGACTGTACTTGATGGGTCAAGCACACAAGACCTCCACTTGCTGTTATCTCCTTTAATGCACCCCATCCTAATGATAGGTTGCTGGTATTCTTTAGACCTGTAAGGACTGGAAAGAAAAATTCCCTGTGCAGCAGGAGCACCTCTTGGTCTGCTTCCTAATAGCAGGAGAAAGAGGGAAGGTTGTGGCAATTACAAGTTGGGGAAGGATGTAGTTGGGAATATGTGCTGCAGTTATTGGGCGGTTTGAGGAAGACATTGGAGATATTGCAGTGGGCATGGAGCACCACTAGGATCCTAAAATGGACTGGAAGATAGCAGGGCAGGACAAACTACTTACTTGATCAACCCACCTGCGTTGGAGAAACAGGATGTTTGTGTATGGTTTTGCCTTATGAATGGTGCTGCTGTTCAGTGCTGTGATAAGGGATGAGATTTCTTAAGGAGTGTGGTTGAGTGAATCAGAAATGAGCAGTACCAAAGAGACATTTCAATTTATTTATATTTCATACACTAAGTTGCAGAACAGGTGAGCCTCTGATCCTATGTCTTTGTGTTCTCCACATATGACATTTATATTGAGTTGTCAGAGCAAACTTGTAAGCTGTTTGTTATTAGGCTGCTGTGATGCTATGTGTAAATGGCAATAATTGCTTACCTCTGGCATTTACCAATTATTTTGGAAAGGAAGGAGTGTTTTAAGTAGCAGAGGGTAGATGGTGAAAGGAGTTCAAAAACAGAAGTAAAGTTTAATTTGTAAATTAGTTTTTTGCATAGCTGCATGCAGTAGTTGGGAATAATTTGTGCTGCCTCTCTGAATAGAGTGGTTAGGTAGCCTAAGCTTCACAGTTATACTGACTTCAAAAAACTTACGTGGTATTCACCAACTAAGGAGCTGGCAGGAGCTTCACAGAATCACAGAATGTTTGAGGTTGGAAGGGACCTCTGGAGATTATTGAGTCCAAGCCCCCTGCCAGAGCAGGATCACCACAGAATCTAGGGCAGATCACACAGATCACATCATCCAGATGGGTCTTGAAAATCTCCAGAGAAGGAGACTCAGCAGCCTCTCTGTTCCAGTGCTCCCTAACCCTCACAGCAAAGAATTTTTTCCTCATGTTGAGGTGGAATTTCCTGTGCTCGAGTTTGAATCCATTGTCCCTCGTCCTATCACAGGGCACGACTGAAAAGAGATTGGCCTCTCCTTCTTGACACCCACCTTTCGGATATTTGTATGCATTAATAAGATCCCCTCTCAGTTTTCTCTTCTCTAGACAAAAAAGCCCCAGGTCCCTCAGCCTTTCCTTGCAATGCAGGTGTTCTGGTCCCTTAACCATCCTTGTAGCCTCCATTGGACTCTCTCAAGTAAATCCCTGTCCCTCTTGAACTGGGGAGCCCAGAAACAGCCTTTTCACTCTGTAGCCATGTATAGCCAGGACAATACCTCATTCATCTCTTAAGATACAGACCCAGTCCTATTTCTCTGCTTTTGGAGGAGTAGAATAATATGAAAATGTAAAATACGGTGTAAAAAAAATAATTAAAGGAAACTTCAACCATCCTGTGTGTTCTGTGAAAATACATGGATGGACTGAGTTGTGCAGCTGTCATTCTAACATCTCAGGGAACAAAGAATGGATATCTGCCATGATTCTTATTTGCTTCAGCTACAATGTGAAAGAAGATAAACTTTTCCATCATTAGATTTCCCTAGGGAAATCAGCAACTACCATTTCTTGAATAAGTATGCAACCTGGTATATATAATCTTCCATCTGGATGGAGATGTAAATTGATGAGTGAAGCAGATGAACAATGTTTTCTTGCTTCAGTAAGATTTATTTGACTTTTCTGCTATTCTTGTTGCTCAGGTTTGTATAACAGAGGCCCCTCTGCTACAAGTTCAACTGTAATTAGAAAATTGCAGCTTTGTTTTGATGAGTGGGTCACTGCCCTGAACATGTGACAGAGGTAATAAGCTGAGAGTCTGGCTTGAGAAAGTTAGTTTATGGACTTCCATTTATTTTTTTTGTAGGTATTTGATCCTGCGTTACAGGTTCATTTAGCTGTACTGTGTATCTCTGTAGGCTATCTTGAAATAAAATTTGGAATGTGTTTTTGCTCCCTCCCCCTTTGGAAATGTATTACAGTTCTAATGTCTATCAGAGCTATTTGCCATATCCATCATCTTCATGAATTTTAGCAAAACTTCTGGCTTGCATTCTCTTAACCCTATTGAAGTGCATGTGTTTCTCAGCTGAGAGAAAGATCTTGCAGAAGATCACACAACAGCTTGCTGTACCACTCTAGCACAATAAGTTAATTATGAGTTGTTCATAGTACTGACTTCAGGCAGGTACTATTTGTATATGTGTGCATGCCATTGATCTATTGTAAAGAAATTTATGTCTGATTAAGTACTTTTTTAACTTTCATGCTCAGATATTGAGCTGGCTGATCCTTAAGTGCCTGTGTAAACATTGTCTTTTAGATGGCTCAATATCTATGTTTGAGGAGCTGGAGTGCCTGAATTACCTATCTTTTATACCTGTTTAGCAGAGCCAACATGGGATCAGGCCTAGCCAACATGGCTTTAGGAAAGGAAGATCCTGGCTGACCAGTCTGATCTCCTTCCATGACTGGTTGACCCACCTAGTGGATGAGGGGAAGGCTGTGGATGTGGTCTACCTAAACTTCAGTAAGGCCTTTGACACAGGCTCCCACAGCATCCTCCTGGAAAAGCTGGCAGCCCATGGCTTGGACAGGTGCACCCTTTGCTGGTTTAAAAACTAGTTGGATGACCAGGCATAGAGAGTGATGGTGAGTGGAGCTGCATCTAGTTGGTGTCTGGTGACCAGTGGTATCCCCCAGGGATCAGTCCTGGGCCCAGTCCTATTCAACATCTTTATTGACAACCTGGATGAGGGGATTGAGTCCACCCTCAATAAATTCATGGATGACACTAAGTTGGGGGACAGTATCAATCTACTGGAGGGTAGGAAGATGCTGCAGAGGGATCTGGACAGGCTGGGTCGCTGGGATGAGGCCAATGGGCTGATGTTCAACAAGACCAAGTGCAGGATCCTGCACTTTGGCAACAATAACCCCAGGCAGTGCTACAGGCTGGGGGAAGAGTGGCTTGAGAGCAGCCCTGCAGAGAGGGACCTGGGAGTACTGGTTGTCAACCAGTTGAACATGAGCCAGCAATGTAAGATGTCCCAGCTGAGCCAATTGGCCCAATTGCAATGATACCTTCAGTTAAATGGGAAACACAACATTGAAAGAAGCTGCCAGAAAAGAGCATGTGGGCATGGTATAATGTGATTTTTTTTGTAAATTGGAACTT